AGTCTTTATACAATATATTCGTACATTAATTTCCGCATATAATTATAATTACCAACAAAAGCAATTAACGTTAATAATTAATTAATTTAGGTATATACAATTAAAAACAAGTGGGTATGTTTTATCCTTAAGTCTCTATTCTCCAAGCATTTTTTTTTTTAATTAATAAATATTAATTAATAAAATTAATTGATTAATGTTTATATATACTATCAATGTTGTTAATTAATTTTTCAATTTATTAAATACTTTTTTGGTGTTTAAATGCAATTTTTTATAAGAAATTAAATCAATATTATCATCGGATTTTATTAATCATATATGATCATATCTGGTTATGTATTAATTTTATCTGATTCGGTTGTTGTGACATAAACTATATATGAAACAACAAACCGTATATGATCATATAAACTTTCAAAAAATTTATATCTGATCATATAATGTATATCTGTCATATATTTTGCATAAAATTTTTGAGTTAAAATTATATATCTATTAATTTAAACCTTATGTGATCAGATACTACATGTCAGGTACGGATTACGTCTGTCAAAAATTGTATAATAATTTATTCAAATTATATTAATCAGATATAAGTAATTTATAACAGATAGGCATCATAAAAGTTGATCAGATAAATCATATATTAATTAGACACATTAAAAATCAATCAGATGTTTCAGATATCACATGGTCAGATATTTATCTGATACATCAGATACTAGCCATATGAATATTAGATAAGTCGGATTGATAATAATGACTGATCAAAGTTCAAAATCAAAATCTGATCAGATACGTCAGATATCGATCATATATGTCATTTTACAACCAGATTAATCATATAAGCTCTAAATCTGATCGGTATCTGATTAAAAACATCAGATCAATCATATAATGATCAGATAAGTCATATATGAATCAGATATTGACTATATCCATCAGATATTAGCCATATAAATATCAGATTGATAAATAACTGATCGACGTCGAAATTAAAATTTGATGCAACTGATCAGATATCAATTATCGATCAGATACGTCAGATATCGATCAGATATGTCATATATCTGTCATTTAACAATCATATAAGCTTCATATTTGATCAAATACATAAGATCAATCATATAATGATCAGAAAGGTCATACATATATGAGTCAGATAGCACGTATATGAGTAAGACATTGATCAGATAGGTCATATATGAATCAGATATTGCTTATATACGTCAGATATTAGCCATATAAATATCAGATCTATAAATAATTGATCAGATATCAATTATTGATCAGATACGTCAGATATCGATCAGATATATCTTATATCTGTCATTTAACAATCAGATGAATCATATATAAGCTCAATAACTGATTAAGTACATAAGATCAATCATTTAATGATCAGATAGGTCATATATGAATCAGATATTTGTCAACTACAAATTCGACACAGAATATTGTTTAAAAAACCAGATACTGATCAGATATAGATCATATACTTTCTGTAACAATCAGATACTTAAATTCTGTATCAGATAATGAAAATTTGGCTCAAATTCAATACATATTTTTTTTTGTTTTTACCTAATTAAGCGCATCATATATATGAAAGCTTTGATAAATACATTTTAGTAATTAACCAAATATATCTTAATTAGTAATAATAATTGAGTATTGTTGTCCGTTATTGTTACATGATACTGTTACTTTTTTATTTTTTTATACTTTTTGTTATTTTATATGCAAATATAGTTTAAGCTTTTTTTCATTAATATTATTATTATTATTGTTATTTATTCATTTATGTAGATATTTATTTTTTTTTAATTTAATAAATATATATATGTATTTGATAATGCGTTGGATCTAGGTCACTAACAAATACAAAAATTACAGTAAAAAAATATTTTTAGTAGAAAGGGATGGTAGCATTTTTCATTATTATTTTTATATAAAGATATATATTATTTTTTTTTTCAAAATAATTTTTTTTTTGAAAAAAAAAAAAAAAATTCTAATTTGAGGTAAAGATATGTTCTATTGATAATTATTGCGTATATAAAACAATTTAAATAATAGCTGGGAATGTTTTTTTAATTTTTTCAAATCATCCGCTCACGATTTTCACGTTTTAACAGAACCAGCGTGTCGTAGGTCAAAAAATAATGTCATTAATGGACAGAGATTGAAATTCTGCGTAAAATGAGTACCCACATAAAAAAATGAAAAATTTTTGAAAAAAAAATTTTTTTCAAAAATTTTTATCAAAAATTTTCAATTTTTCATGTGGGTACTCATTTTACGCAGAATTACAAGCTCTAAAGTTTTCTCTACAATAAAACTAAACAAATCGCGTGCCTAGAGTTAAAAGGGCGTATAATTAAGGGTTAATAGGGATTTGTGCTGAAAGGGGGTATAAAAAATTTTTTTTTGCCATTCAGTTTGAAATTGTCTGAAACGTGAAAATCTGTGAAAAAAAAGTTGGTATCCTAAAGCTGAAAGGGCCTATCTCAAGACATACGCCCTTTTAGCTTTAAGAAAAGTACTACTTAAAGGTAAAAGGGCGCATAAAAAAAAATTGTAGTTTTGATACCAAATGTTAAATAATAGTTTCACAAGACAAGTTATACTAAAATAACAGCCTCACATACAAAGTTTGATATAAACAAATAGAAAATAAATCAATCAAAAACAAATTAAGTGATAAAAAAAATCACAATGACAGATAACATTGAAATATTTTGAAATTTCTCGCTTTAATCGCCCTATTGAATATAACTACTGGCGCCGTTCACACAACAGCTGTTTCATCATAATCAACAATCCAGAATCCAAATTTTATAATAACTATTTCTTAAAATAAAAAGCGCGAAAATAATCACGCGTAATTTATTGTTTTTTCGATATATTTTCTTTTTTAACTTTAAAAAATTGTATAGTTGAGGTTTTACGCCGCTACTACCACAGAAAGTTTTTTTTTCACATTTTTAAACTACGAATATGTTCTTTTGTAAACTGGCTGAAAAAAAAATTATACGCCCTTTCACCTTTAGATCACCAAAATTTCGAATTCTTAAAAGTAAAAGGCCGTATAATTAAAGACATACGCCCTTTTACCTTTGCAATTTTTTTTTTTTCAATTTTAAGCGTAAAATGTGTCTACTACTCGATTGGCAATAGAAAAAAAAACTATGCGCCCTTTTACCTTTAGGCACGCGAAAATTCAACTTCCTAATTTTTTAAACCTCTTTTTTTTCATAATTGTATATTTTTATACTTGAGTTATTCCTTCGCAAAAAGATTATGAAAAAATATATATAAGTTTTCAGCTTTTCTAATATGTTTTGTTTTTATTTCTATTTATTATTATTATTGTTATTGTTATTATAATTATTATTATTGTGCCTGCTATACACTGTGCGTAATTAATTAAGCACAAAAAAGTTGCTTTTGTTTTTTATCTCACTCTGTTATTAAAAAAAAAAAAAAAAAACAAAAAAAATGTAGATATGTCGAAAACTCATCTAAAAAATACGACACTTTTTTTAAAAATTTTAAAAAATAATTTTCAACCTAAAATCTTATATTGCTCTTGCGGATACTCGACCTCGATATGTGTTGGATATTTTAAGCAAAGAGCCTTTATTACTACAATAATTAATTAATTAATTATTTTATTTCTTATCATGGAAGTCATCGTGTGTAAAAATATGCATTTTAACCAAAAAACAGTAAATTTATATTATAATTACAAATTATAAATTATTAATACGGATAAAAGCTTCAATTACATTAATATATTATTTATATATTTATATTTATATTTATATGTATAATTAAAAATTATACTATAGCTTAGCTTATAAAATTTCCTCAAAAACGAGTACCAACAACCTTATATTTAACCCACCGTCAAAATCTCACTCAAAAAACGTTTACTTTATGATTAACTCCCAGTGGTCAGAATATATGATCATTAAAGCATATATATCGTCATATATGATATTATATAAAAGATATATGGTTATATGTGTTCATATATAAACTATATGTGGTCATGTCAATCATATAGATCAAAAAAGGAGAATATGTCATTATACAAGCCATATACGATCATATATGAACCATATGTGGTTTTATATGAATCATATAAACCATATGTGCTCTTATATGAATCACACATTGTCATTTGAACCATATGTGGTCATATATGAATCACATATGGCCATATGAATCATATGTAATCAGATATGAATCACATATGGTCATATGAACCATATGTGGTCATATAGGGTTCATATGTGATATCGTATAGATCATAAACTGTCAGATGAACCATATAAGATCATATATGAACGATATGTGGTCATAAATGAATTGTATATGATCATATGAACCATATGTAGTCAGATATGAATCACATATGGTCATATGAACCATATAAGATCATATATGAACGATATGTGGTCATATATGAATCATATATGGCCATGTGAACCATATCTAGTCTTATATGAATCATATGTGGTCATATGAACCATATGTTGTTATATATGGTTCATATGAACCATATGTGTTCATATATGGTTTTTATGAAGCATATGTGGTCATATATGGTCCATATGTGATATCATATAGATCGTAAATGGCCATATGAACCATATGTGATTATATATGAATCACATATGGTTATATAAACCATATGTGGTCATATATGGTCCATATGTGATATCATAGAGATCATAAATGGTCATATGAGGCATATGAGATCATATATGAACGATATGTGATCGTATATTGTCACATGACTACTGAGAGTCAATATCCAAGTAACCTACCTCCCCAGACGTCGGTACCCATTTAACTCGAAAAACTCTTAAAAAATCCACTCACAAAATCCTCACCTCAAAATCCTTAAATAATCACAAATACAGTTCAAAAATTTTATCAAAAAACAGTTAAACGAGTACCAACAACCCCCGTTGGGCGCCACTTAACTAATGATGACAAATATCCGAGTCCCCACTACTAGCCATAGAAAAGTTTGCAGAATCTCTATCAGCAACTCTCACATTCGCGACATTCCCGCCAAAAAACTTATTTTGCAATGGCTGCGGAAAAGTGTGGTGCCCCGAAGGTAAAGACCACTGTTGTGTTTGCGCCGGCAAAACATGATTAATTGGGTAGCGTTTTACATACCCGCCATTTTGATTCGGCATCACTATTTGATTAGTCCGTCCATTAGAATTGGGCGCCAAAGTTATCGGCAGAGTTGTGTGATTAACCATCGGTAAAATAGGAACAGAATTTTGGGGAACTGTTCCACAGCTACCGGCATTACCATTCCCATTGATATTCCCATGATGCACACCATGCGGCAGTGGCATTGTCGAACAGTGAGGATACGTCGGAACAATTGGCTGAGTTGGATAGTGCGGCAAAGTAGCCGAAGCATTATTAGCATTGATGCAACTTTTAACGTCACTATTCTCAGTAAAGGACGTCATTCTCATGTTAGTGCTCCTACCGAATGGTTCTGCGTCATTGGGGTTCCAAGATTCGGGTAACTTTGGCCTGGACATACGACGTCGTATCACAACCGTCGATTCACTGGTATTCTCTAAAATAATCGCCGGACATGGACCATTCCCTTTAGAGGATTTTCTGTCAATGGTATTGAACTTTGTGAATTGGGGACCAGCTTGAATTTTGTACTCCTGACCGCCATTTATATTTGGTGGCTGAATTCCCCGTTGCAGTGAACAAGATCGCCATTTATCGTCGCCATTGTAAGCGTCATTGGCACTAAGGTCATCAACACTATTGGACCGACGTGTCTGTTGGCTTATCAAATGATTCGTTACCGACGAATTGCTGGTATTCGAATGGACTCCGCTTGAAGATTCGCTGTTCGACGAAGTCAAGCTACGATCAACCACTTCGTAATTCGGCAGATGATTCACACCATTGGTCATTGGTTCTAGGGCCGGAGAATTTGATGACTCTGATCGGGGCGTCAGCTGATCTTGGGAAACTCCCGAGTCTGCATGACGAAGACACTTCGGCAATCCAACCTGGAACAAATGAAGACAACCATGAAATTAGCGGCGAACGATGAAGTTGCTGGTGAAGCAGCAACGTACCTGAGGCACCGAGTGGTTAGAATCATGGAATTCCTCAGTTGGGGCGGTTAGTACTGAAGTTAGCTCGTTAGGAATTGGAAGCGGAGGAATTGGTAGGTTTGGGTCCGGTAGAGGTTCTGGGGTTAAAAGTGGGGAAGGATCACCTTCTGATGGGTGGAGGTCCCGGTTACCGCTGGCGTAGTAGGTTACTTGGTCATCGTTTACACATTCCAGGAGCTACAATGTCAAGGTGATTAGTGGTGATCAGTGTTAGATTTGGTGATCAAGCTAAAGAGAGTAATCTAGGATTGGTATGGTTTGGGTTACCTTGTTTTCTTCCGAAGCAGAATCATCAGCGTCGATGGCAGTCATTAGTGGTAGCTCACGTAGCGTGGCATAATCACCATCGTCGTCTGGTCCACCCTCGGTATTACCTCGTCTTTTTCCCTTATTGCTGGAAGAATCATCGGATAAGTGACGATTGGTCACAATATTCACAATTTACAATTAGATAAGCTTAGGGTTAGTTTGAAGGTTAGACAGAACCAATTGCAGGAAAAAGGGTTGACTAGGTTTGATCAGATTTCATGCAGGATGAGGATAGCAAGACAATAAACACAACGACACCAAGAAAGAAGTAGATTACCGCGCGCCAGACGTACTAGGCAGGTCGTTAAACGTCACTTTGGGACGAAGCTTCTTGTTGATCCAGCTTTTGTCCAGATTCGACGCTGGAATTGTTCCGTTTGGTGACTCTGGTGATGGACGTAGTTTTGGCCGAAGCCAGTAGATCTGCTCTTCTTCTTCAAGGCTAGCTTCTCCAGAAGCACGGTTTACAGTAACACCTGGACAAATGATGGATTGATAGGGTAAAATGATTTGGGGTCAATTTGGGAAGCTTACCTTCATTCTGCTGAGCCTTCCGCTCGATTATAGCCTTCTGGATGACGCTCATGATGGCCTTCTTCGGCGAAGACTCAGCTATGCTGTAGGTCTTGCCGTCGCCGACTATCAACAGAGGAGCGTCACTGCCCAGTTCATGGTCTATCAACGTCTCGTCGTCGTTTTCGTTGTCCTGATCGACGTTGTTGGTGCTCTTTCGTCTGCAGGCCAACAAGTCAACGTCGGTGACCAATTTTACTGACCTCGCTGAGCGGACAGTCGCTCGGGCTATTGTTACGCGGACTTTGAAAATCCAATTACGCTTTATTGTTAAAAAGAACCAAAATATCAACCAGAGAAACAAGTGGGTAATTGTTCCTAGGATGCATGCCAATATTACACCGTCAAGACTTCCGCGGTAAACTACTATGTAGTCGTAGATAAGTGGAGCGTTGCATATTAGGAGAGCTAAAAAAACACAAAGTGCTGCACAGTGGGTAAAGTACGACCAGCCTGAGCTGTTTCGACGACCCTCTTTTGATATTATTACTCGCCGTTGGTGCTCGTGTTCTAAAAATGTGGCGAATCTACGGACAAAAGAGAATAAACGTTAGAGGTATGAGTTAATAGGGGTCAAGTTGGTGATCAAATGAAGTTTATTAGGTAAAATTTTGATGTTACTGCTTTATATAATCAAATTAGTGATATTAATCAATATTAATTACATTCTAGGACCATTTAGTAATTGGTTATGAACTTCTAGGATTTGTACCTATCTACCGCCGAAAAATCTAGTTGGTATTTCAATTCTTTCTACCCGAAATCGACAAACTGGCCGCTATTAATTTCATCGCTTAGAAGAACACAAATCCTGTAGCAGGCTTTATCAATGACAAATCATACAAAAAATTGTATCAATAGTAATATTCTCAAATTGCTAAAATCAAAATCATCAATAATAGTAATATAGATAAGATCGCTTATCGAGTTCAATAAACGGGATGGTTTTAGAGACTAGTATCAGCATCTTCGTCAATGACAAGCCTATCTGAGTCATGACTGTCAGCATCTGAGTCAGCGTTAGTCTGATTGGAGGGCGACTTATAGGCGTGTGGATCACTAGTGCTGCTATTACCAGCATCGATGAGTTCTTGCGACATTCGTTTGAAATTTTTACTACTCTCCAAGACCTCCATTTTGAAAAGCTACATACCGACACCATTCGCAAGTTATAATGTGTCTTCATAAGCCACAATCTAATCTATTAATTTCATCGTTTTGACCACAGATGCTATCATATGCGCTTATAGACCATTTTTATAGATATCTCACCTTCCGTAAGCGTAGAGGTAGGTCACCATACTTGAGCAGAGAATCAACAATGAAGATAACGCAAACAGTGCTAAAGTTACATGCGGATTTAGTAACAAGTGCGACGTATCGCCAAACAGGTTCGTCACAACCTTTTGCAACTTGCTGGAGTAAATTGGCGTTGGTTGAACACGATTCCGCCCCAAACTCAAGACTTTATGTGGTCCTAGAACTTGTACCTGTAAACCACAAAAAAATTGGGATTATTTGCGCCGTTAATATCAGAGTTAATCCACAATTTGTGTGATATTAATTAACTCACTTTGTACAGCACGGACATTCCAGCGTAACTGATCAAACTTTGGACAGAATTAATGAACGATTGAATACTAAAGATGGTGCCGATAGCTTTGTTGCAGGACCAGAAGACCGCTGGGTAGCGCACAGAATAGACAGCTAGCGCCACCGCGTAGTTCAAGTACTCCAAGCTGATGAAATCCTTACGCTCATCATAAGTGTCGTCTAAAACGTCGATAGTGTTATTTCTAGAGCTTGCTATATTAATATTACATATATTAATATCTACCTTCTCTGTCGTTGTTCATCCGGTCCAAATCCGCGATGCTATTAATAACAAGCGGCAAATTGTACGCAGTCATATTACCCGCCTGCGCGTCGGAACTTTTGGTCTTGTTCCTTAGCATCACTACGTTCTTGTTTCTGACGATCGGTAGCGGACTAGTGGCGCCAATGTCGGATTTTACTGGAAACTCCGTAGACCCTGTGTCTTTTGCTGTGAAATTCCGCGGATTCGTCGCGTTAAACCCGCTTGTAAAGTTTAAAATTTCGGTATTAACATCATCGATACTCGGCGTAAGAAATGGGTTGTTAATATAGTTGATGTTGGTGCTGTTGATCATGCCGGGGTTCATAAAGTTCAGGTAGATCAGCCGGTCACGATGGACCACTATCCAGTCCAAGTCCGTTCGCCAAATTGCATCTGCAATTATTTATGATATTAATATACTGTAAAATAGATCATATTTCCGGTTATATTAATTTCATCGCTTAGAAACGTCGAAGGTTTGTAGAGAAAATTATTTAAAGCAAGAATTGATTTTAAAATTGCAGAAAAAAAAATTAAATGATTAGATTGAGTTGCGCGATGAAATTAATAGAATACTTTTGTGTCAATTGTACGGAATCTATGGAACTTTTTCGAGTTTTTTCGACGAAGCAATCTTAAATATGACCTTTTACTGCACTCTTACCTTTTGGTAAAAACCCGGCGTATATTAACCGCGCTTCCATTAGCAATGTTGGTAATAGAAAGCACATTGCAGTACAGAGATGAACGAAGGCTGCTGTAGGTCCTCCGTGCTTCCATAAACTCCCCGCTAAGCCTACAAAAATTGAGATAGATGATATTAATATTCTAGAACTCATGAGAAAATTAATATCAGTAAATATATTACCACTGTCTATGTTATTTCCGAGTAAAGAAGCCGGTGGATCGCGAGTACATGTGCTCGTATGTCTGCCGAGCTTCACACCGTCATTCGCCAAGTTTCCGAGCTTCAGACACGCTGCTGCCAGTAATATCGGTAGTAACAGAACCCCGGTTCCTGTTAAGACTATGCAGACATGCAGCTCGAATTTAGGCGGCTGAACGTCCGCTGGCCATGGAAGTGACAAGTATGCTGGAAGAAATTTTATTTTAGCTTGTGAAATTAATATCGGATAAAATGGGAGATTTTGGAAGAAAATCGAAGATGTTTTTTATTTTTAAGATGACATCAAAGTTTTAATAAAAAATTCAAACTTTGTGATATTAATATTGCAAAATAGTTAAAATATCAAAAGTGTGAAATTAATATCAAACTTTTTTGCGTTTTTTTAGTGAAGTAATGTGCCGTTTTACTTCAAACAAAAACTAATATTTTATTTAGACTATTTAGGTTCTAATTAAAGTCAAACTTCCGCCACTAGGTGGCGTTGAAGCTCATATAAAGTGAAAAACGGCAAACCTTGCAATAATATTGCAAAATAATTAAAATATAAGAAATATGAAATTAATGTCATACTTTTTTGAGTATTTTGAGGGAACTTATGTGCCGTTTTGCTTCAAACAAAAACTAATATTTTATTTTGACTATTTAGGTTCTAATTGAAGTCAAATTCTGGCCACTAGGTGGCGTTGAAGCTCATATAAAGTAAAAAACGGCAAACTTTGTGATAATATTGCAAAATAATAAAAATATCAAAAGTGTGAAATTAATATCATACTTTTTTGCGTTTTTTGAGCGAAGTAATGTGCCGTTTTACTTCAAACAAAAACTAATATTTTATTTAGACTATTTAGGTTCTAATTGAAGTCAAATTTCGGCCACTAGATGGCGTTGAAGCTCATATAAATTAAAAAAAAGTAACTTTTGAAGGTTTTATCACTAGATATCAATGAATCTTACCAACAAACCGCTTGGCACACCTTGTAGCGATGTAAGCCTGTAAGATAACCACCAGAATTCCATACCACACGGACCACAAGCCATTAGCGTGTCCCCTATTGCAGGTTTCTCGCTTCCTCTTGTGCTCACTGCGTCGTAAGTTCGAGGCGTACTCGCGTTGCTTATTAACAGAGGTGTTTATGGTTGTCGTGGTGTTAACGTTTGTAGTAGTTATCGGGGTTGAGGAAATCATTGTCGTGGTGCTCGTTAACGTCATCGGCAATGGCGTAGTCGAGGAGCCCGTTATCAGCGTTGACTTCTGCTGGTACTTTTTATTGTTACATTTCGCCTGGTTTATCTCGTTGTTGCTTTCGTATCCCATTAGACTTCCGGTCATCGACATCGTGGCTGTAGATCGGGTATTTTTTCCATATGCATCTGCGTGTCAGCCTGGTAGTTGATTATCGATGGTGATTAATTGGTGTTCGGGTTGTTGATGGTGTTAAGTTTGGATTTTGACGCCTGGAATCAAAAAAATCATTTTATTGTCATTTTTATTGTGATAATGAGAACAATATTAATAATAATATTGATAATGATATTTATCATGATATTAATATCAACAGTGATATTGAAAAATATTTATCATGGTGTTAGTGATGATAATGATATTCACCATGATATTGAAAATGATAATGATATTTAACATGATATTGATTGCTATATTCAGCGTAACATTAATAATGGCAATAATTTTCAATATGGACTGATAATGACGGTGATATTCATCATGACATTAATATCTACAGTAATATTGATAATGATATTCATCATAAATCATAATAATAACAATAATAATAATATTCATCATATTGATAATGATATACATCAAGATATTAACAATGATACTGATATTCATAACGATATTCATCATGATATTAACAATGATATTGATATTCATAATGATATTCATCATGAAATTAATATTAAAAATGATATTGATAATGATATTCATCAAGATATTAACAATAATATTGATATTCATAGCGATATTCATCATGGTGTTAACAATGATATTTATATTCATAATGATATTCATCATGAAATTAATATCGAAAATGATATTTATCAAAATATTATCAATGATATTGATGACCACAAAATTGATATTCATCGTGGTATTTATAACGATTATGATATTTACCATGATATTGCAAGCAACAATAACATCCATGATGATATCGATAATCACAATGATATTCATTGTGAAATTAATATCGACAATGATATTGATAATGATATTCATCAAGATATTAACAATGATATTGATATTCAGAAAATTGATCATGAAAATAATATTCACCATGAAATTAATATCGACAATGATATTGATAATGATATTCATCAAGATATAAGCAATGATATTGATATTCATGAAATGATATTTATCATGGTATTAAGAACGATAATTATAATTATCATGATATTGCAAACGACGATAATATTCATGATGATATTGATAATTTATATTATCAAGAGAATAATAAAAATTTTGTGTCCAGGATAAATTTATATGATAAAATCGATTTTTCTATATATATGTATATATGAAAAATATATCAAAAATGCATGTGGGTACTTGAATGAAAGCTCTCGATGAGCGTAACATCGAGATGAGCTTATATCTTTAAAAATGTCAATAATTAAGAACTGACCTTGTATCTTGTGAACTATTGTCATTTTTGAAGATATAAGCTCACCTTGATGTTGTACTCATCAAGACTTTTCATTTGAGTACCCGCATCAATTTTTCATATATTTATATATATTATATATATGTATATATGAAAAATATATCAAAAATGCATGTAGGTACTCAAATGAAAGCTCTTGATGAGTGTAACATCAGGATGAGCTTATATCCTTACAATTGTCAATAATTAAGAAAATACAGTGCAATTTAACAAATAACATAGTAACTGACAAAAACAAACATTGAAAGAGAAGCTTTTATCCAACGCCCCGATTCCCCGAAACAATAGGCGAAAAAAAGACGGGTTGATGGCTAAGTGGCTCTGGTTTGTCACTGTTGAGTGCACGCAATGACACTCTCTCTTAAACATTATCACCATTATGCACTCTGTACGAAGGGGCGTAAGTTTAGAGCCTACAGAGCATAAGTAAGAGTTGAGTTGACGTTTAAAAACTAAAGAGGAAAATAAATAGAGCAGCTTAGGTTAGGTGCTTCTGTTATATACCATGGAGTATGGAGTATGAAGTATGGCACTGAGCACGACTAAAGAGAAACCTACCAAAGAGAATAGGTGTTAAGTGTTGTGTTGTCAAGGGATCGTATGCTTCAAACGTTACCCTTCTCACTTTCTTTAGAAATTTAATTTTTTTTTTTTTTTTAAATAAACCAAACTTTGGTTTGTCTTGTTTTTTTTTTTTTTTTTTTATTAATAATATGGATAAAATCCTTGAGAGAGGAAACTTTACTCCAGAAAGATTGAATTAATTAAAAATAATTAACTCTCTAAATTTTTTAGAAGGTATGATAAAAAATAATGTTTGTAATTTTGAAAAAATAAAAAAGTTTTTTATTGATGAAAAGATACAGATGTTATTTTAATTTGACACTTGAATGTTCTGGTTCATTAGTAAAGCTCGTGAAAGGGACATCTTTATTGTATCTGTCATTATTAAGATACTCAAGTGTTTGTAATAATAATAGTCATAAAAATCAAGCGGCGATTTTCGATTAAGAATTTTTGAAATTTCTCCAAAGTAACATCTAAGAAAATTACAATTCTTTCTAGATATATAAAAAATTGAATTAATAAATAGAATTTATCGATAATTTTTATAATTAGTTTATTTCGAGATGTATTATTATTATTTTCTCAAAGAAATAATTTTTTTATGAACTATAGTTGATAGTCAAGGCTGAAATTTTCGGCACCCTATTCTTAGAATAGCTTAGAGCGGTTCAGAGAAGGATTGTTTCTTTTTTTTTTTTTGTTAATTAATTAAGTTGGTTAGCTTTTGTCTTAACTCAATTTCCTTTTATCTGGAAAACTATAATAATAATAATGATATTTGAATTAAAGAGCGTCTATTTAAGAGCAATGATAATCTTAGCCTGGATTGACGCTAAAAATCAATGCAAATACTAATCTAATTAGTCCGTTGATCGCTCATAATGTTTCCATGTGATCAATATCGCTCTGAAATTACAATTGAGAGCGCTTTTGTACAATAGATGACATTTTATTAACTGCATTGACACCAAAAATCAATGTAAACACTAATCAAATTAGTATTTAAATAACTTATGGTAATCCAAGCAAGCAATATTGCGTCTAAATTAAAATCAACAGAATTTATTAACGACTTAAGACGCTTTTGAACTGCATTGACATCCAAAATCAATGCAAATAATATTTTAATCGATCCTCTGATGAATTAAATTACTACTTGCTAATAATGTCGCATCAAATTTTCAGTAAAAAGTCTCTTTATACAATTTTATACATTTTTAAACAGCATTGACGCTCAAAATCAACACACTTGTTTTTTGTCAATGTTTCAAGATTTATTCCTAAGATTTTTTTTTAATTTTAATACATCTTTCTTGGGACTAAATAAAAAAATAATAATTACTAATTAAATTTTTACCAAAATTAAATTTAAAATTAAAAATATCTTATTTTTTAAATCCTCTTATTGTATACAAATAGAACTAAATTTTCTCCTGAATAAAAACAAAAATTTCTATTATTTTTTATTAAGTAAAAGCTTCATAATAAAAGTGAATTTAAAGGGATTGAATCCATTATAAAATTATTTAGTTTGCAAATTTTTTCAGTTTAAAAATAAATAACGTATTTAATTTTACATATCAAGCTGTCTATTAAGTGAAAACCGGCTCGTAAAAGTAAAATTAAGCTTTCAGACTCACTGCGGGGCAGTGACACTCAAAAGCTGTAAAAAGTACGTTTGGAAACTAAAATAAAGTTGAGATAAAGATAAAATTCATCTCTTACTCTGTATATATGTACTCGGCAAAACTTATATACGTATTCCCCCAACGTAATCTTGAGAAAATCGATCCCCAAACGCATAAAGAAGAGGAAAACGTCTTACGTGTTACGATTCCCCTATCGAAAAGGAAAAAGTGAGACGGAACAAGGAAAATATGCACGACAATCTATATATATATATATATATATATTTATATGAGGGCGTGGGTGTGTGTCATGTCATGGCATCGTGTCGGAAGACACCAAGGGTAGACTTAGATTCTCCGGTCGGGTTCAAAGTTCCCCTATATACATTCTGCATGTTTATGTACATACTTATACACGTCGATAGATAAGGTTATATTCATACACATTTATAGAGCTGGTGATTCATCCCATTGGGAGAGCAATTCACCAATTTGAGGATTAAATAATGAATCACTATCGATGCTATCAATTATTAATCCTTCTAAAGGATAGTCGTAAGTAACAAGTGACGTTATCATCCATCTTCATTAGTAATAGTAAAGGATTTCGTTGGAAAAAAAAAATTATGATCGATTAGTAAATAGAGTTACTATTATTATTATTATTATTATTATTATTATTAATGAAAAAATATTATTTTAAGAAATAAAGAAATAATAGTAAATAGCAACCTTGGAGTCACTGTGTGACTGCCGTGACTTGTCAAATATAAATAAATAAAATTTTGCTTTATTAAATAATGACTTTTGTTAAATTGCACTGTATTTTCTTAATTATTGACAATTGTAAAGATATAAGCTCATCCTGATGTTACACTCATCAAGAGCTTTTATTTGAGTACCCACTTGCATTTTTGATATATTTTTCATATATACATATATATATAAATATATAAAATATATGAAAAATTGATGTGGGTACTTAAATGAAAGGTCTTGACGTATATCTTTAAAAATGTCAATAGTTAATCAGATACTATAGGTCATTTCTTAATTATGTAATGTCAATTGCAGTGTACTTTCTTAAACATTGATATTTTTTAAAATATAAGCTCATCCCGATGTTACACTCATCAAGACCTTTCAATTGAGTACCCACATGCACTTTTGATATATTTTTCATATATACATATATATAATATATATAAATATATAAAATATATGAAAAATTGATGTGGGTACTTAAATGAAAGGTATTGATGAGTATAACGTCAGGGTGAGCTTATACCTTTGAAAATGTCAGTAGTTGAATGTATACAAGGTCATTTCTTAATTATTGATATTTTTAAAGATATAAGCTCATAATTTGATTAGTATTTACATTGATTTTTAGCGTCAATCCAGGCTAAGATTATCATTGCTCTTAAATAGACGCTCTTTAATTCAAATATCAT